TATTCTCGACGAAATGGTTATCACTACTAAACTGTCTTGATAACGAAGCGTTACTACAGTTACTAGTCAAGCTGTTTTAACTTGATAGAATGTGGTCACTTCTAACCTACATTACGTTATCACTTAACATATTGTAGAGACTAAATACAAATTCAAGGTGCTACTCTAAGATTGTTATACTATTTTTTTCCCGAATAGAAGAAGGCCATTGGTAACAAACTGAATTGTGAACGATTATATGGTGAAAAAAAGTCCTAAGATCTAAAACTAAAGTAATTGCGCATACTCATGAACACTACAATAAATTAAAATTTGAATATTTCTTTCTATTAGGTGGTACTAATAGTTTGTAAACTAATTTGTTTGTGTGAAACATTTTATCTTTGTTATCATAAGATACATCTCATACTTATGTAACTCAAATTAAAACACACACTAATAATAATAATAAAATTGATAAACGTAAGAGATATAGAAAAGATTCTAAACCTACAGGTCGTTCATTTATAACTTTAGCAGTGGTTTTTTTTTTTGTTTTTTTTTACAGAAAGAAGCTCTGGTCAGGCAACTTCCTCGTCGAACAAAGCGGAGGAAAAGTAAGCGATCCGGTGGAAACTTATGGAACAATCTTCGTGACAACGCGGTTGGACCCGATCTCCGAGTGCCGGTGTGTTAACGAATTTGGGACCCTATACAAGATTTCCTATTCGTCAACAAACTAGAATTTTCATGAGGCGCATACACATTCGAAACATACTGTATACTTCGCAAGGATTACTAACGGTCCTTTTAATTTAATCCGAAGTGTATTATTTGTAAACCTGATTTCAACGGTTGCTTGTTTCCAAAACTTCCTTAAGGGTATTTCTACGCAGCCACAGACAAAGTACAACTCCTCATAGACTCAGTTCTCTGCCACGAAACCAGTATCTGTATGAAACTGTACCTTTACACCCAGAAATGTATTAATTATTGGAACAAATTTAAAAAGTTCGAATTAAAAGACAAAAGGGAATCCTCAATAGCCGCGGCACTTGAAATTCATTTAGGCAGAATTAAAGTAAATTAATATGAGACCTTTTTTTATTAGCTATATTTCTGTGCGCCAGCAATATAAAAGGTAAGACGAGCGTATACCCGGTTCGATTATATTACTCATCAGGATCTCTACCAACTTACCCTCAAATTGAAACTGTTTTAGGCAAGATTATAGTAAATTAATCTGAGACCTTTTTTATTAGCTATATTTCTGTGCGCCAGCAATATAAAGAGTAAGACGAGCGTATACCCGGTTCGATTATATTACTCATCAGGATCTCTACCAACTTACCCTCAAATTGAAACTATTTTAGGCAAGATTATAGTAAATTAATCTACATGACCTTGGGCGTGGTCAAATATATCAATCGAAAGGGTTTGACCTCCCGAGTCCAAAACTGTAATTAGATCTTACATCAGTCAACAGATGACAGAGCTATATAAGCTAAATGTTTGTACTTGAAAAAAAATATATATAAAAAAGTGCCGTTCTAGGAGCCGCTATGACGGCTAAAATTTACATTATCGCACACCATGTGTAAGATTTTACTTTAACATGGTGTTACATTATCGCACACCATGTTAAAGTCAAATCTTACAACAATAATATAATTTGAGAAAATATAGTTGTGAAACTTTGAAACATGTGTTCGTAGTCAAAATATATAACTAAAGTAATAATATTTCTTATCAAATTTCTAAAATAAAATACACTGTTTTAAACTTCTGATTGACGTACCGTATTTTTCGGTGTATAAGACGCACTTTTTTACCCCAAAATTTGATGTCAAAATCTGC